CCCAAACGAATGACGATCCTTTCTTTGTTAACTGTCGTAATGGATTTGCCACAGTCGCAAAATCCGGCAGATAGCGCAGGTTATAAGAGCACATTCCTAAAAAGGACTTTAGTTCTGTCAAGTTTTTAGGTGTTGCCGCTTCAGAGATGGCCCTGATATTTTCATCACTGGGTCGAATGCCACTGCGTGAAATGACGTGTCCCAAAAACGGAATTTCTGGTGCATTGAAGAGACATTTTCCTGCGTTCAGACGCAAATTGAGATCACTGAGGCGCTGGAGGACTTTGTGAAGCCTTTCATCATGTTCTTCCTGTGAGCGGCCGGAAACACAAATATCATCCATGTAGGCAACATGCCCATCGATACCTGCCAGGGCGTGAGTCATGAACTTTTGCCAGGCGACGGGCGCGGAACTCAAACCCATGGGTAAGACTTTGTACTGAAACAGGCCATCAGGAGCGAGGAAGGCAGTTGGGTGTTTGGAACCATCGGCCAATGGCATATGGGAAAATGCACTTTTCAAATCTAGCATGGGAAAAACAATTGCACCAGCTAAACGTACAGTGAGTTCATCATTGGATGGCAAAACAAAGCACTCTACGACGATCTCTTTGTTCAGTGCCTGCAAATCGTTGCATATCCGGACAGCACCGTCTTTTTTCATGACACAAACCATTGGATGCACCCACTTAGAGCAGTGGATGGGTCCAATCAAATCACTTGCTAGCATCGCTTGCAGGGCTGCTGAGACCGCTTCACGTTTCGCTAGCGGAATGGGTCGAGGTTGACCAATGGCGACCGGTTTCACATTAGGTTTCAGCTGAATTCGATGCACACTACATGGAATACGGCCGATGGACTTCTGGAAGAGCTGTGGATAATGATCCTGCCAGTGTGCTACGTTGACGTCGAATGATGGTACAATATGCAAAGCCACCATAGCATTCCTCCCAAGTAAGGGTCGTCTGTTGTCCGAAGCAATATACACTGCCACATCGGCAATCACAGAATGCAACCGCAAAGGCACGATAATAAATCCCAATATGGTTAGTGTGTTCCCACTATAACTCCAGAATGAATGTGAGGTGGGATGTAAAGTATGCTGTGATAGGTTGCGTTCATAAAATTGGAAAGGCACGATAGTGACTGGAGAAGCAGAATCAAGTTCCATTTCCAGTGGAACAGCACCTTTAACAGTAAGGAACAATTCAGTACGAATGTCAGCAGCTGAAAACTTCGGTTCAACAACGGATATGGTTACACAACCTGAAGGTATGGAGTCAGCAGTGATTGAATAGATATTGTCTTGAGTTGGATCGGTAACATGGCATTCCGGTGTATCATCATCTTTAATGAGCGCGACAGCCTGCGATCGACAACAGCGGGCATAGTGTCCAATTTTACCACAGTTTTTACACTTGAGGCTGCGTGCGGGACAACCGGCAAAATTAGCTTTGTGAGACGTGCTCCCACAACGATAGCAAGACAGTTTGTCTGTCGGACGCTGCCGGAAAGATTGTACTCTCGCCACTTCAGTTAAGCTGGTGGAACAAAACTGCTTCGATTGCAATGAAATTTCTGTCTTTACTCGGGCTAATTCGCAAGCTCGATCCCACGTTAGTGTGCAAGCGTCTTCCTGCAATAGCCCCTCACGTATGCGATTGTCAGCGATCCCAGTGATCAGTTGCTGAGTGAGCATACAGCGTTCAATCTTTTTCTGCGGAATAGACGAGTAGGCACACGGTCGTACTGCAGGACTCAGCCGAGCAATGAAATCATTCAAGGATTCGCCTGCTTCTTGGTGTACTCGGGAGAAAATATATCGCGCGGTAAACACGTTCATTTGGTAACTCCATGCACGATCGAGAGCATTGAAGGCGTCCATAACCGATTTGCATCCTTGGAGACCCAAATCATCGAATTGCCGCTGTCCCTCATCTGTGGAAGCAGCTTCAATCTTTTATCCTCACTAAGAGCAGTAGGGAGATCGCTGCTTAAATCCAAGTAGTTTAGGAAGGATGTTTTCCAACGGAACCAAGCATCCGATGTCGGTCTGCTGGCGCAATCAGTCCAAAGTGGAGATGGAGGTTGGATGGAAAGGTTCATTTTTGCCTCCGCGATGCCAAAATATTGTATCAAGAAAGCCGTAGAAAAGGTAAAATGTATCTCGCAAAATTAACCAAGTACAACTGAGTCAATCTCTTGTTAAACGGAGAGTCAAGCGACAGACACACACAACCAATAGTAGGATAGGAATGAGTCAGCAAGCCAACCAATGAGATCGAGCCAATCGATGTTGCTCACATGGTTACCACACTTGTGTTTGCCTGTGATGGAGTGTGGGTCTGCTCTGTTGATGAAACGTGACTCCCATCCACATGTCTCCCGGTCTTATTCCTTCGGGTTGACACTGAATATGTGTGTGGGTGGTGCAGCGCAAGCCACCCATCGTCCCTCAGTAGGCGCAGGCATCCTGTGGCTGGCCACAGTGACAGTCAAATCCGAAAGGGGATGCCGTCAACTGTTTTTTCCGCTATGCTTCTGGATAGGGCTGCATATCTAAAAATGCTTGGTTGTTCAAGCCATGTGCCTTTTACCTTAGGTGCAAGTGAATTGCTATGGATCTTGGGGTTCCGACTAAACGCGAAGTTTGTCTTTGAGGCGCTGGGCAGGATATCGAGCAGTCTCCACAAGAATTTGCGGCTGGGTAAGTCTTGACTACTGAAGTAGTTTACCATTATAGCAAACCGAAGACGCTATTCTCTTTAGAAATAATTGGAAGAAACGTCCTTTTTCGAAGCTGTTATCGCAGTGTTCAGGCGGCTGAGAGCTACCGTTTGCTTTCTGACAAATAGAGCAACCTAGCCATTTGCTGGCAGCGTATCATTTACAACCGTTCTCGTCTTCCATAGCTTCCATGCTGCAAACGTTGGCACGGTATTATAAGGAATCAGCAATTTTCTGTCTGTGCCTCAAATCCACAAACTCTGCTACTGCGCGTATTGGTCGTAACATGAGTTCGTTCACATGGGCTTTTAGGGACCTACGAGTGTAGTTTCTGCTTATATCAACCCTGAGCTAAATATACTAATGTGGAGCTGTTGATTCCTTTGATCTTACTGTTCTGCAATGTCCTTGGGTATTTTTCAGCTATCCACACCGACAAACTCTTGGCCCTATTTCACAGGTACTTTCACCGCAGGTGCAAGTGAATTGATATAGAATGCATAATTCAGACTAGACCCTGAGTTTTTCATTGAGCAGTTGAGCAATAAACGGAACAGTCTCAATAGCAACATGTGCGCCCACGACGACGCACGCTTTAGCTACTTCGCTAGCAAGTCTCCTATTCTGTAACTCGAAGGTGATATCTCCGTTGAGCGAAATACGTCCTTTTTGAAGTTGTCATGGCAGGGTTCAGGTGTTCCCGGTCCATAGTATGCTTTCTGATAGCGGTTGACCATTAGCTGGCAGCGTTTTACAGATCTGACCCTTTTTGTCTTCCAGTTCTTCCGGTCCGCAAGTCTTGGTACAATACTACATGCAACGAACCTATCTCCGTTTTTACCTCACTTTGACTGGCTTAGAATCTGTGTGCATTGGTGGTAGCGGAAAATCAGGTCGGTTCATGAATTTGGATGTAATACTGGATACATGAGATCAAGTCTAGGAGCGTCACTGCCTCCGCAATTGCACCTTGTTGAGCCAGGCTTTAAAGCACTGTTATGGCTACTCCCGAGGTCCCAATCCGCCAGGACAGTACGCACCTTGTGACTAAGACTCTCAGTCGTCTTCATACGTTTATGTCACGTCGTCGACTTGGTCACCTCTCACTTACACCCATCTGGGTACGGCGACAGTATATCATGCACACCGCGTAATGCGATCAACAGGACATGACCTAGCCAACCTAGGCGGTACGTGTTTGACAGACACTCCAGTGAGACACCATACTATTTATTTTCAAACACTGACTGGCGGGCTTCATTAATCTTCCTTCTGTGTTTTTTTACTGCAGGTGGACAATGCGACACAAGCACCGCTTTTCTGATTTACTTGTCGTGTAGTGGCCGTTTCTGGTTCATATCACAACACCGGCGTTGCTTGCATCGAACGGTCTTTTCAACAGGCGGTTCTGTGATAACTATAGTCAGCAACGTGTCTGCCCGATCTTGCAACAGTACTTTACACTTCGAAATTAGCATGGACATCCCTAGGTATGCATTGCTGCAATTCGGTCTGTCCGGACTCGCTTGTTTCGACTCAACGAGTGCTATGCCATCCTCTTCCTCCGAATTTGTCAGTGTTAGTCATCTGACAGCTCTAACTTTAGAGTAGTCTGAACGGACAAAGTCCTTACTCTCACTGCGTTGAGATAGAGAGGGAGTATAAGTGGTTCTGATGCATCCCATCTGCCGTGGTGAACTGAACAAGTCTATGCATACCCTTTTTAGATCGCAGAACTCACGATAACGAAGTTTCGGAATAGGAGGGAGTCTCCTTGGTACGCCCCTCGAGGATAGGTGTTGTACTACGGTGGCAAAATTAACAAGGCCGATTGCACCTCTCATTTTAACGGTCACTGTAGGCAGTCGTTTGTATACTTGTCGCTGCTCCAACATTTAACGAAGCGTATGCATGTTCTCAATACTTCCTCGGTCACGACGGATACCAGCCAGTCACGTGCCCACGGTTCACCTGCTCCATTGACCCACAACTTTACGATGTCAAAAAGGGTGACTCCGTTTTTCGGTACGGATTCGTAACGCATATGCGGAACGGCTACTTTTTTTTCCTTTTCATGGCTTTTACCCCTTCATGGTGAATTAAGTTTGAATATTTCTCGTTCTTTTCCATGTCAGGTGCACACATTCCACTTCGCGCAAGTGTAGTTTATCACACGCTTGTTTCTAATTCTCTTCCCCGTTTAGTTTGTCCTCCTCGGTCCCTCGCTTTTCACTCCACGTGTATTTTACTTAACCCCATCCTTTCGTTTTCAGTTCCATCAGCACGACAGCACTTCATCCGGTCTGATCTACGTGCTTATCACAGCTGCACTCATTTTGACGTGGATCGAGACGAGCTTTCTCATTTACCGTGTGATACCCCAGGAGAAAGCTGCTTCACAAGGTATACAAATCGTTTGCTCTCTGTCATCTTCTGTCTTGCCTGACTTTCACCCATTGCTTAACGGGTTAATTTCATCTTTATTTGTCTACACATGGGGTTTCCAATCCATCTCACCATTTTTTCTCCACCAACACATTATACCGTTAAACTTCCCACTGCACAACTATAACCATCTGCAGGGTTCCTGGTTCCGTTTGGTGCCGATTCCTGTGTCTGTTTGTCTTCCTTGTGGGAAGTTTCCCGTTTTGATGTTTGTCCGTAACATGCGCCACTACTCAGCTATCTTTTTGCGCGACCGTTTTCTCTCACTAATCCAACGCGATTGAATACTACTTTTTCTCTCTGACTCATCTCACCCATCTGTTCACTTTCCAGTGGCTACTTGCTTTACCGTGGACGAAATGACTGAGACGCGTAGCCTGTTGGGTTCCCTGCGGGGCTCACGCCGTGTTCTGTCCACTTACACCGCAAGTAGGCGAGGGTACTACACACCATTAGGTAAGTCATCGTCTACCCCTAACTAACAAATACCCTCTCTCAGCTAATCGCCTTGCACTGCAATCCCTCCCTATTTTCCTTCGAACCACTTTTAACCATTTCTTCATCTGATTTGCCTCAACCCAACACTGTTTTTACCATCCCACAGGCTCTCTTTTTGCCGCCGACGTCGGTCGCCGCATTTCGAAGGCGCCTGAAAGTCGCGAAGCAGCGATTGATGTAGGTTTTTCTCGGCTTCTGTTTTGTGATTGCTCTACTTCTCAAACTGTTTTGTCCCTTCACTCCATTGGAGTAAATATCATTTTGATAAATGCTGTTCTCGGTTGTTTATCTGTTTTGACAGCCTTTCTGATTTATTACCTTTACTGCTGCGTGTGGACCTACCAGATTTTACCCTTACCCGCCCCCTGGTTCTGAAAAATGTGCCCTTTTCTAAGCTTTGAAATCAATCACTGATCTGTCCATAATGTACATTATCAGTCTATCTTCCTGCGTTATCTGTCGCGTACACATTGTGCCAGTACCACTGAAAAGAGCTGTTATCGACCTTCACTTTATCTGTACGCTTCCACCATCGCTTATTGCCCCTAACTGTCCACATTTGCACACTGCCATTAGTTCTCCCTCCTTATCATCGTCGTCATCAATCGGTACTTTGTTGCTATGCCATTATGAACGCCCTACTAATGAGCGAGAAGCAGTCTGATGTGAGACCACAAACATTCAAAATTATGGCGCCCACGCTTTGTCAACTACATACAGTCACAAACAGATAAAACGACATTGATGCGAGTAGTTCCTTGCCTCATAATCAACCTAATTCCACAGATAGCCCATCATCAGGCACACTTAAAGCAGATAGCTCCTTTAGACGGCAACTGCACTCACGCCGCTGGTCATGTTTTATGAGGATTCTAACCACGCACTGAAGATTCGTGAGGATCTTGGTCCGGAAGATTTGACAGACCGACAGCATCCAACTTAATTTTCAGTGCCTTCTTAATCTCCAACCGATAAGTCCACTTTTGCTCCCCTCGGGCTTCACGTTAGCCAACGCCCACGGTGTGTCTGAATTGCGACACTTCAAGTACTTTGGAGCCACGATTTATTTTGCAGCAGATCTCTGCCATTTGATATCGTGAAATATGACTGGAACCTATTAGGAAGCCATGATTTCAAAAGCCTTTGTTGGGCAACGTTTCGCCTTTGACACAAAGCGTAAGGCGAAGTGAATTGGTCCCAAAACAGGGTGACATTTTATAACGATCGTGGGTAATTTTCCTGCAGAGGCTAATCGATTTGCAATTCTGCCGGGCCTTCAGCAAAACGTTGAGACAGTCTTCCTAATGACGGACGGTAAAGAAACCCCTCCATGCCCTTGATTGATGATCACAACGCATTGTAAGACAATACGCATACTACAGGCATTTGTCGGCCTTTTGAGGGACATGATAAAGTGCGTATGTTTTCAGCGGTCTACCAATAGACATGGAGCCATCAAAAACCCTTAGAAATCAAATGAAGGTACATCTATAACAAAGTAAACCGGACACAGCAACGGAAATTTATAGTTCCTTCACACGGCCCGATACTACCCGGATGCCCAAGTCGAGGTAGGGTGTTGACTTAGTTCCACCTTACCTCTAGCCTGCCCGCAAGCAAGCGTGATCAATTCGGGAGGGAATCGCACCCATTTGGGGGCAGGTGACCGGTTACTCAGTTCCTACGCTTTCATTTGGCCGGTTATCAAACAGGAACCTAATCATCCCCACAATTTCAGTCTCAGGTTGCTGAAATACGATGCTCCATTGAAGTGAATTAATGATTTGCTCGAAGCTCAGTATCTGCTAACAAGCTACTTGTCATTACGCAGTGAAGATGCCACCTCGATTGGTGCTGAACCGTCTGCAGTCCAATTGCTCAGCTCGGAGCACTAATTAAGACTTCACCGACAGTGACTTTATTTAGTGACGAGTCACTTCCGCCACGTCGCAGTGTTGCTAACCAGAAATATGTAGCTTTTTACAGGTAGAACGCTTGCATGGCGAAAGCCCAACACATCCTGGAACATTTCTATCCAACCATTTACTCGAACAGGATGATCCTAAACCACCCAGATGGCATCATGTGGAAGTTGTTCGGCAGTCCAGCCTATGATTAGATGGTTCACGGAAGTGAACATTACACCAGCTGGTCAGGCCTATGGGCCATCACAGGTGCGACTGAGTTCCCAACTTGAGAGCAAATAAATGAAGCGCTCCAGCGTACCAACAATGAGGACGCAAATTACGATAGGCGCAAAGCTGATGTAGTCTTCGTCAAATTGTTCTTCAGTGTTCCAATCGGAAGGTCATCATTACAGGGTGCTTTGTGAGCGGCTGCTTAATGTGTTTGTTAGACAACCTTTTTCTCTTGACACAAAACGTCTTCAGGCAGGCAAATCTCTGCAGTCTCAATCATTGGACGGCAATTCGATGTGGAAAATTTAGGAGCTGTTCTCCAGGACGGACCGGTTTCGTCCTACTTTGGACCCTTCAGGCAGGGATAACCTTTCCTGAGTGCAGAACTCGATCCAGATTGGCTCACGACTTACGACTTGGTCACTAAGCCAGACGTCCTCGAGCCATGCGGTCCTCAGCATGCAACGAACAAGCATTCGTAGCAAGTACTCGTTCGCTACTCACCTAGAAACCTCATCGTCGTGAGCACACTGGCACATCTCGACATTAACGTTTCTCTGTGAACAACGATGGTCTAAGGCATGAAGGTACTTGAGATGTTTCTTTTATGGAAGCCGAGTCTAGCTTTCATGGCGCAGCAAGGCTCCTTCTTTGTTTCTGTATATACAGACCAAAAAAAGACGTTACTTTTTTGCTTAGACCCATTCATTGGTTAAAATTTATGATAAATTCCGCTGACATCCAAGTACGTTCGCTGTGTGTACTCTTTTCTTGATATATCAAAGTTCACCTTAATTCGCGGTTTCGGATCGATCACTTTTTCATTTTTCACAAGTAACACAACTCAGCCGTTCCACTATCTAGTCGGCGTACTACGGCTAGTGCCTCCGCAATAGATCGGTTACAATTAAAACCCAACTATTGCTACCTAATATTCCTCCAAATTAATCATAATTCCTTAACAGATTGTTGATCGCGTCCACTGTTTGCCTCTATCTCCCTCTAACGTACTGGTCCGGTAGATAAGATTTAACTTATACGTCACCAACTAGGATGTATAGACGGAGTTATTTTAATCCACCTTCAGTACTACGTCGTAATCTATGTCATCTTTAAGCTGTTCCCCCTTTTCCTGCTTCCCTCTCTCAAAATGTGCCGGAAACGGGACATCTGTTGTACCCGTTTACCTTCTGATATTACGCACCATGTCTGCTATCACCTTCGCAGCGAGACTAGACCTTAACGTGGTGCGACAGTTTGTGTACCTCTTTGATCCATTGAGCTATACTTAGTGGTGCCTCAGGGCCCCTTGAGAGCTACTCCTAGCAGATTAGTCAATAGTGAGAGGTCAGACAAACTCAGTATCCTAGTCCTCCAGGTTGGGGGTTTGAAATGGGATGGCGTCCATTTCTGCAAAACTACATCATTGCCACCTCCCCGCTGCCTTGCGGACAGGCTTTTGAGCCAAAGGCTTTGGATGAGGACCCTAATCGTCCTCCTGTCAAGGTCTGGGCTCCCTGGCAGTATCTTAGTCCACATAAAACCATGACTTTTTCTTCAAACATAAACTTCATCCTGCATCGGTCGTCGCGCAGATTATCAAGGGTTGCCTTATTTGCTGCATACAGCAGGGCAGATCAGCGAAAACATGCTACTGCTGGCGTTCCCTTCTTTCTTTTCCACCTTTTTCTCTTACTCCCATCCCGGCCCCTATTACTAACCTTCCTTCTATAATTCCCAGCTTAATTGACAGCAACCGAAGCGCTACTGGAGTAGTCCCGTCTGCAGCCACCATCCCACAGCACCTATCGGACGCCTACCGGCAAAAGTCCTTCATAAGGTCACGCTGTCCCGTTTCCATGGTGGTGTTCAACGTTCGCACTCTAAGACAAACAGGTCAGCAGGCTGCACTCGCACGCACCTTGGACACACTGGGTATTGAAGTGTGTTGTGTGTCCGAAACTAAGATCAATGACCCTTATAGAATTGTTGAATTAACTGCACCCGGCTTATCCTCTCGTTACTGTGTGCACGCATCTGAAGACGCCGATGCGGTACTCATGGGTCAATCTGGTGTAGGTATCATTCTAAGCTCCAAGGCTGAGCCATCGTTGGCTGATTGGATTCCGGTGAATAGCCGTTTATGTGCAGCCCGTTTGACGACATCAGCTAAGGTGGATTCACGAAGCAGTAAAAAACGCTGTTTGTTCGTGGTTTCCGCTTATGCTCCCACCGACTGCAGTTCAAATGCTGTCAAGGACACATTCTATAACGAACTGAACACGCTACTACGCAGTGCTACTAGTTCATATATTATAGTACTTGCGGGAGATATGAACGCACAAGTAGGGCGTCTGAGCTTTCAGGAGTTCAGCTGGGTGATAATTATGGGCTTAACTCCGAACGGACTGACAACGATGAGCGTCTGTTGCAACTGTGTGCGGAGCACCCACTTTTTCTTAGTAGCACTGCTTTTAGCCACAGTGGGCGCCGAAGTGCCACTTGGCGTCCTCCTGTAGCTGGCCAGCGATGGACCCCAATTGACCACATAGCCATAAGTTACAGGTGACGTGGTTCCATCATGGATTGCCGCTTTTACTGGACTACGTGCGTCGACTCTGATCATGCCTTAGTACCCTGTCGTTTCTCCATGAGCTTTACCGGGAGGCGCACCAAGCGTCTCCTTCGATCGGCAACCGAGAAATTGTCTCAGTCCTCGGTCAAGCAAACCTATCAAGACACATTGAGTACCGAACTTTTGCTGTCTTTTCCTAATGACACTGTGCTTCAGTTGAATAGGATGTCGGATGCCATGTACAACACAGGAGCATCTGTTTGTGGCACTATCAGTCGTCATTGCATCAGTCACTGGATATCCGAGAGGTCGATGCACCTGTTGTAATCTAGAAGAAACCTCCCGGCTGGCTCTGAGCACAATGTGACCAGACCGGCTATTAGTCGCGAACTAAAGCTGATCCTGTGTGCTGACAAGGAAGCCTGGTAGACCACTCGGGCTCTAAAAATGGAGGAGGCAGGAGC